TGGTGGTGCTGGGACTTGAACTCAGGGCCTCACACTTGCTGGTCAGATACTCTACCACTTGAACCACTCTACCAGCTCTTTGCCAAATTCTTAAGTAGTATAATAGTCTACTATTGAGATTATTGGAATGTATTCTCTATACTGTTGATATCCAGGGTAGTCCAGGCAAAAAATCAATATAATATGATGTATCTAAATATCATCTACTGGTCAGAATAATCAAAAACTCAATTGGATTTTGCTGCCTTGCTGATGATGGACCTATTATTTAGTCTTTTAAAAGGCACTTATTTGGAATTCTCTGGTTTTTTTTTGCCCTATGAACAATGAATAGACTGAATTACATTTAATTAAATACTAATAAATTTAACTTTGTCACCAAACTGTTTAGGAATTAGGTTATGCCCTGTAAGGTTATAACATGCTTATGTGGTCAAATTTCTGTACTTCTGTTGCCTTTGAATTGGATAATTACCCATAAAAGGGAGCTCAAATTATTTTAAATATGTATATATGTGTGTATATTCTTACTTTGGATACTATGATATCAAGACTTGGATATACTTAACATATATATGTGTGTATGTGTATGTGTATGTGTATATATATTCTAATCTAAATATAGTGCCTAAAAGCACAAACCTGATGGAGGTTTAAATCCTAGCACTGCAACCTACTATTTGTGCAACCAGAACAAATTACCAAGCAATCTCACCATCACTTATTCATCTCTATACATTTGGGGAAATGCCTCTTAGTGTTGTTTTTAACATCAAATAAAAAAACCTATGCAACAGGCTAAGCACAGAGCTTGGTGAAAGCATACAAGTGCTCATCAATGGATAACTTTTAACATAATTATTCTTTCAATCATTAATTTCATTGGAGAAGTAACTCTTCCGCGAGCCCACACAATACTCTAAGATGTTTACTATATTTCTATTAAAGTATTAAACTTCTTTTTCTCCTATTTTATAATGAAGTCTGACTTCCCCTTTTGAATTCTTCTTTTTATGGTGGTACTGGGGTTTGAATTTTTCATTTTTAATGCTATATTGAATTTTTATTTCAAGCTCTGAAAGCAATGTAAGCAATAAACCAAATAAGAGAAATTTATAAAGGAAAGAAAAAACCCTCCTTCCCCAGAGGAACCAGTAGCAACACACTGGTTTATACCTTGCTATAATTTTTTCTATACCTGTATAAACCAAAGTATGAAGATTCTTATACTTGTCAACAATCTAGTACATGTCTTTCCTTTTTTTGTGGCAGTACTGGGGTTTGAACTCAGGCCCTTGAGTTTGTTAGGCAAGCTCTGTACCACTCAGTCTTCCCCCAGCACTTTTTGCTTTTAGTTTATTTTCTGCATAGAATCTTACTGTTGCACTGGGGCTGGGCTGGGAACACCGTCCTCCCATCTCCACCTCCTGCATAGCTGGGATTACAGGTGTGAACCACCATGCCTGACCCTTATACATGTTTTTCTATACTTGACTCTATAGCCATATAAATAAACATCTGTATTCATATTTGCATTTTCTAGTTGAAACAAAAATGCAGTAACAGTTGTCATAATGAGCTATAACTTACTTTTTGCTTGACAAAATGCATGAAAATCCTTTAGGTTAAAAATTATTGCAAATAACTCACTCTGTCTATAATTGCTTAGTTATCCATAGATAAAATCTATGGATTTTACCTAACTATCACTCTATTGAAAGATTTTCAGATTGTTTCCAGTTTTTCTTTTATCCCTATAATCGATATAGCAATAAATATCCTTGTTCAATTAAATTAAATCCTTAAATACTGATGTTTTGATTTCATGGGATAAGTGCTGAAAAGAGGGATTTAGTGTGCACTATGTACTATTCAAAATCCCAGCAGCCCAGTAACTAAGAGAAAGGATGAATAAATGGGATTTCATAAAATTAAAAAGCTTCTGCACAACAAAAGAAATGGTCTCTAAACTGAAGAGACCACCCACAGAGTAGGAGAAAATATTTGCCAGCTATACATCAGACAAGGGACTGATAACCAGAATATACAGGGAACTTAAGAAACTAAACTCTCCTAAAATCAATGAACCAATTAAGAAATGGGCAACTGAACTAAACAGAACTTTTTCAAAAGAAGAAATTCAAATGGCCAAAAAACACATGAAAAAATGCTCACCATCTCTGGCCATAAAGGAAATGCAAATCAAAACCACACTAAGCTTCCATCTCACACCTGTTAGAATAGCCATCATCCAAAAACACCACCACCAACAAGTGTTGGTGAAGATGTGGGGAAAAAGGAACCTTAATCCACTGCTGGTGGGAATGCAAGCTAGTGCAACCACTCTGGAAAAAATTTGGAGACTTCTTAAAAATCTAAACATAGATCTACCATATGATCCAGCAATCCCACAGGAATGCACCACAGGTTACTCCAGTGGCACCTGCACACCCATGTTTATTGCAGCACTTTTCACAATAGCCAAGTTATGGAAACAACCAAGATGCCCCACTACTGAAGAATGGATCAAGAAAATGTGGTACTTGTACACAATGGAATTTTACTCAGCCATGAAGAAAAATGAAATGTTATCCTTTGAAGGTAAATGGATGGAACTGGAGAACATCATTCTGAGCAAGGTCAGCCAGGCTCAGAAGACCAAAAATTATATGTTTTCCCTCATAAGCAGACTTTAGATCTAGGGCAAATGCAGCAATGCTGTTGGACTTGGATCACAAGAAAAGGGGAGAGCACATATGGGAGATATAGGAATAGGTAGAAAACCCAAAACTTGAAAGCATTTGATGTCCCCACTCCAGAGGAACTAATACAGAAACCTTAAAACGACAGGTTATCATGAGCAGGGGATCAGGAACCAATGTAAAGATCAGCTACAGTTGAATCAACATGGGTTGTAACACATGGGTACACAAAAGCAATAGTAGGAATCTTTCTGTATAGCTATCCTTAACTCAACTAGCAAAACGCTTTGTCTTATTATGCTTATGTCTTTTCTTCAACAAACTCAATCAGAAGGGCAGAACGGGACCTGCCTGAAACTGAGGAGGGGGGGGAGGAGGGCAGGGTGGGGGAGGGTGCAGGGTGGAGAAATGGCCCAAACAATGTATGCACATGTGAATAAATGAATAAAAAAGTGCTTCACATACGTTACCACATTATTACTGCTATTTTAAAGTACAATGACATTTAGGTAAATGATTTGTCTAAGGTCACTAGCTGTTAAGCATTGGATATGAGATTTTAACCCAGGCAATCTGGCCTCCAAATCCTTGTTCTCATACAACCTTTACCCAGAAGATGCCAAATTTCTTTCTCCAGCGCTTCCACACACCATTCTTCCATGATGATTTCTACAAACTCTTCAAAGTCTTCCATTGCACCCCAAGAACTTATCTAAGGTGGGACATCTGTAGCAGAACCTGGGGAGTACACAGATCCGATCTTGTTGTTTTCAAGCACAGTTGAGTGTGCTCCTTATACTCTGAAAGCCTTTTACATGTGGAATTGGGTTACTTCAAAGATTGCGTCCTTGGACAACTTCTAGCAGTTGGGATCCAGAAACAAATGTGTATTGCTGGCAAATGAAAAGGAATTAGGATGGAGTGTCTCTGCTAACAGCTTCCAGATTTATACTAGAGAAAGCAGATGCTGGGAATTTTCCATTCATAGCTTATGGTGCTATAATTCTTACTTTAAAAGTCTCCAGGCTTTTATTCTTCACAGAATGAAGTAATTCTTCCTCTCCCTCTCAAAACCAAAATTCCCCAAACTGGTTACAATTACAACGGTGTCCACTGTTTTTATGTTTCTTATTAACTTTATTTGCATTTCCTTCCAAAGTTTCAATCTGAGAGTTCTAGGGACTTCAGCGAAGGGTGTGGTTTTTACTAGTCAAAATAAAAAATAAGCCAAATTAAACTAAGCAATACATAAGTGCTGTTCTTTTGACAAAGTATAACCTTAGGGCATGATATTGTATTGGGTGCCCTATGATGAGAGAAGAAAAAACTAATGATACATCCTAAATATTGCCCTGAAGTCAGCATCGTATTTTAGGAGAGAAACTGTCCGAGAGACAATAGAGTAGAACACTAAGGAAGAATTTATTGCTGCTTATAGGGTGTGGATGGTAGTTTGGCAAAGACTGAAGTTTATGGTTCAAGAAACCCAACTGGTATTAAAACTCCTCATGCTGATAATAAACAGTTTGCGCCTGCAGAAGCACGGCTCATCTAGCGACTTCTCTGGATGACCTAAGGCTCAGTTGGCATCAAGTTGGCAATTGTGCAATGGTTCCTCCGGGAAGACAGACTGAAATGATTTGCACTGAAAATCTCTTGCCTTGAGGAAAAATTACAGCAACTGAGAATGAACTCCCACTGAAAAAACAACCAAGTGGAAGTGCAGTGTAGTGTAGAACTGCGCTGGAAGTAGTTAGCTGTCACCAAATCTGCAAATGTATAAAACTACCTCTGTGATTGGGGATTTTAGGAGCTTTGGGTGGTAACTTCATGGCTTGGATAAAATCAGGTTGGTAAATAACGTCAGCTTTAGGCAAGGGTAAATCGTGCCAGAAGTGGCAAAAGTTTGTGCATTTGGAGCTTAAAATTTCTAAAATTGTTAACATATTCCACATGAATTCACGAGCAGTTAAACACGCGGAGTGTGATGGATCCATCCAAGTCACACACAGAGAAAATTGTAACTGGTTCACAAGCTTACTATTTCATTGGCCTGGCAGCACACTGCAGAGGCCAGCAAAGTTCCCTGTCCACAGGAGCACAGGAGTCCTCCCGAAACCCTCGGACGGCTTAGGGACACACAGTAGGACCAAACCTCTGGGGACTGGACCCTGGCGATGGCGCTGGACTGAGCGGTCGCCATGCGCACGGCGCAGCTTCCGCCTCGTCCCACCTTCCATCTACCTGGGCGCCGCGCCCCGCTGCCCTCGCCCACGCGCCCGGGCCGTGGTTACTCACTCACGGTCCGGGACACCTTCAAATCCTGGTTGAGCCACTGGCAGAGGATCTCAGTCATGGCTCACCCGCGCCTCCGACCGCTAGCAGGTGCTACCAACTGCCAGAATCCAAACCGGCAGTTCCGCGTCCTCCTGTTGCCAGGGCAACCCGTTGCTAAGGAAGCGTATCCAAGCCGGAGCTAGTATTAGAGAAGGACACCAGAGGTCAGTCGCAGAGGACAGAAATCGTCGCCTGCCCCCTGCTGGCGGGTAAGACCTGTGCCTGTGCACGCGCAGAAGGCTCCCAAGTGTCTGATGGCAATTGTTATACATAAATAAAAGGTTTCCTTTTAAAAGCATCACCTGTCATTTCAATCATAAACCTTCATTTCTTTTCTGTAAATTAATGAAGGGCAGACTATAAAGAGTTATTCTGAGACCACAAGCTGTTTTGAAAACTGATGATGTGTATTGAAATGCAATTTGTTTAAAAAATACACCTGGTTCCTTAAAATATTAATTGTAATGTTTTTCATAATTGGAATTTTGCATTATCAATAAATCTTAACCAAGCTTTGAAACTGGATGTGCCTGAGTCTTGATGTCTGATTTGATCTGAGTAGCACTTTAACGTTGGAAAATCTACTTAACCTCTTGAACCTTAGTTTCCTTACCTGCAGAATGAGGGCACCAATATTTCTTGTACAGAGTTGAAAAAATTAAATGAAAAAATACATATGTTAATGTCTGGCTTAAGGGAGAAGCTCAGTGCATATTTCTTTTTTTTTAACTCCTAAGTTTATGTGACTTTTATATTTAATTACCAGTATCTGAATTTTGTGTAGCTCAGTTTCTTTTAACATTTCAGAAGTTTTAGAGGCAATTATTTCACATATCTCCTTTTTTATTCATTTATTCATATGTGCATACATTGTTTGGGTCATTTCTCCCTGCTACCCCTCACCCCCTCACTCTCCCCCGCAACCCTCCTCTCTTCCAGGCAGAATCTCTTCTGCCCTTATCTCTAATTTGTTGAAGAGAAAGTACAAGCAATAATAATAAAGACAAAGCATTTTTGCTAGTTCAGTTAAGGGTAGCTATACAGAGAGATTCCTAGCATTGCTTCCATATACAAATGTGTTACATCCCAAGTTGGTTCATCTCTAACTGACCTTTTCACTAGTTCCTGATCTCCTTCTCATACTGATCTCTGTTGCTTTACGATTTGTGTATTAGTTCCCCTGCAGTGGGGACATCAAATACTATCATATTTTGGTTTCTTACCTATCCTCATACCTCCTGTATGTGCTCTCCCCTTATCATGAGACCCAAGTTTGACCACATTGAGCCTGGCTAACCTTGCTCAAAATGATGTTCTCAAGTTCCATCCATTTACTTGCAAATGATAATATTTAACTCTTCTTCAGGGCTGAGTAAAATGCCACTGGGTATAAATACCATATTTTCTTAATCCATTCATCAGTAGCGGGACATCTTGGCTGTTTCCATAACTTGGTTATTGTGAACAGTGCTGCAATAAACATGGGTGTGCAGGTGCCTTTGGAGTAACCTGTGGTGCATTCCTGTGGGTATATCCCCAGGAGTGGGATTGCTGGATCATTTGGCAGATCTATGTTTAGATTTTTAAGTAGCCTCCAAATTTTTTTCCAGAGTGGTTGCACTAGCTTGCATTCCCACCAGCAGTGTACAAGGGTTTCTTTTTTCCCACACACTCGCCAACACCTGTTGTTAGTGGTGTTTTTAATGATGGCTATTCTAACAAGGGTGAGGTGGAATCTTAGTGTGGTTTTGATTTGCATTTCCTTTAAGGCTAGAGATGGTAGGCATTTTTTCATGTGTTTTTTGGTCATTTGAATTTCTTCTTTTGAGAAAGTTCTGTTTGATTCAGTTGCCCATTTCTTTATTGGTTCATTGATTTTGGGAGAATTTAGTTTCTTAAGTTCCCTGTATATTCTAGTTATCAGTCCTTTGTCTAATATGTAGCTGGCAAATATTTTCTCCTACTCTGTGGTGGTCTCTTCATTTTAGAGACAATTTCTTTTGTTGTGCAGAAGCTTTTTAGTTTTATGAAGTCCCATTTGTCCATACTTTCTCTTAGGTGCTGAGCTACTGGGGTTTTATTGAGGAAGTCCTTGCCTATACCTATTAATTCCAGGGTGTTTCCTAATCTTTCCTGTACCAACTTCAGAGTTTCGGTTCTGATATTAAGTTCCTTGATCTATTTTGTGTTGATACTAGTACAGGGTGATAAACATGGGTCTAGATTCAGATTTTTGCAGACAGCTAACCACTTTTCCCAACAACATTTGTTGAAGAGGCTGTCTTTTCTCCATCATATATTTTTAGAGCTTTTGTAAAAAATAAGGTGGGCATAGTTGTGTGGATTCATATCTGGGTCCTCGATTCTGTTCCACTGGTCTTCTTGTCTGTTTCTGTGCCAGTACCATGCTGTTTGTATTGCTTTTGCTTTGTAATATAGTTTGAAGTCAGGAATTGTTATACCTCCAGAATTGCTCTTTTTGCTGAGTATTGCCTTGGCTATTCGCGGCCTCTTGTATTTCCAAATGAATTTTAGGGTAGATTTTCATCTCTGTGATGAATGTCATTGGAATTTTGATGGGAATTGCATTAAACATGTAGATTGCTTTTGGTAGTATATCCTTTTTTACTATGTTGATTCTACCAATCCATGAGCATGGGAGATCTCTCCACCTTCTGTAGTCTTCCTTGATCTCTTTCTTTAGGAGTTTGTAATTCTCCTTATAGAGGTCATTCACATCCTTTGTTAAGTTTGCTCCTAGGTATTTGATTTTTTGGAGGCTATTGTAAATAGAATTGTTTCCATGTATTCTTTCTCAGTTTGTTCATTATTGGTGTTTAGCAAAGCTAATGATTTTTGAAACTTGATTTTGTATCCTGCCACCTTCCTGTAGCTGTTTATAATGTCTAGGAGTTTTGGTGGGGGGGTTGGGTCTTTAAGATGTAGGACCATATCATCTGCAAATAGGGATATTTTGACAGTTTATTTGCCTGTTTGTATTCCTTTTATTTCTTCTTCTTGCCTAATTGCTCTGGCTAGGAATTACAGTACACTGTTGAATAAGAGTGGAGATAGTGGTCACCCTTGTCGCATTCCTGATTTAGGAGAAGTGGTTTCAGTTTTTCACCATTAAGTATGATGTTGGCTGTAGGTTTGTCATATATAGCCTTTACAATGTTGAGGTACATTCCTTCTATTCCTAGTTTTCTTAGAGCTTTTATCATGAAGTGGTGTTGGATCTTGTTGAAGGCTTTTTCTGCATCTATTGAGATGATCAAGTGGTTTTTATCTTTGCTTCTATTGATGTGCTGTATTACATTTATAGATTTGCGTATGTTGAACCATCCCTGCATGCCTGGGATGAAGCCAACTTGGTCAAGGTGAATGGTCTTTCTGATGTGTTGTTGGATTTGGTTTGCCATTATTTTATTGAGGATTTTTGCATTGATGTTTATTAAGGAGATTTGCCTATAGTTCTCCTTTTTGGAGGTGTCTGTCTGATTTTTGGATGAGTGTGATATTGGCTTCATAAAATGAGTTAGGCAATTTTCCTTCCCTTTCTATTTCTTGAAACAGTTTAAGGAGAGTTGGTATTAGTTCTTCTTTAAAGGTCTGATAGAATTTAGTAGAGAATCCATCAGGTCCTGGACTTTTCTTTTTTGGGAGTCTCCTTATTGCTGTTTCAATTTCATTTTGTGTAATAGATCTATTCAGGTGATTAATGTCCTCTTGGTTCAATTTTAGATGGACATAAGCATCTAGAAATATAGAAATCTGTCCATTTCTTCAATATTTTCAAATTTATTAGAATATAGGTTCTCAAAGCAGTCTCTGATGATTTCCTGGATTTCCGTGGTGTTTGTTTTTGCATTTCTGATTTTACTGGTTTGGGTTTTTTCTCTCCTCCTTTTAGTCAGGCTTGCCAGGGGTCTGTCAATCTTATTTATTTGTTCAAAGAACCAACTTTTTGTGTCATTGATTCTTTGTATGTTTTTTTTGTTGTTGTTGTTTCTATTTAATTGATTTCAGCCCTTATTTCTTATTATTTCTCTCCTTCTGTTTGTTTTGGGATTTGCTTATTTTTGTTTTTCTACAAGTTTGAGATGTAGCACCAGGTCATTGGTTTGCAATCTTTCTGTCCTTTTAATATATGCACTCATGGCTATAAACTTTCCTCTCAGGACTGCCTTTGCTGTGTCATATAGGTTCTGGTAGGTCATGTTTTCATTTTCATGAACTTCCAAGAACCTTTTAATTTCCTCTTTTATTTCATCAATGACCATTCGTCATTGAGCAATGTGTTATTCAGCTTCCAACTATTTTCATGGTGTTTACTATTGTTTTTTTTGTTGAGTTCTAGTTTTAATGCATTGGTATTATTTCATTGGTTTTAATGCATGGTATTATTTCTGTTTTCTTATATTTGCTGAGGCTTGCTTTGTGCCTTAAGATATGATCAGTTTGGAGAAGGTTTATGGGCTGCTCAGAAGAATGTATATTATGCAGAAGTTGGATGAAATATTCTGTAGACATTGACTGGGTCCATTTGACCTATGGTATGAGTTAGATCTAGGATTTCTTTATTGATTTTTTGTTTGGATGACCTATCTATTTGTGATAGGGGGATATTAAAGTCTCCCATTACCACTGTGTTGGAGTTTACATATGTTTTTAGGTCCTTTGGAATATGTTTGATGAAATTGGGTTCATTGACATTGGGTGCATACAACTTGATAATTGTTGTTTCCTTTTGGTAACAATTGATCTTGTTTGATCAATGTAGGTCTGAAGTCTACTTGGTCTGAGATAAGTATTGCTACTCCTGCCTGTTTTGGGGTGCCATTGTCTTGGTAAATCTTCTTCCAGCCTTTCACCATAAGCCAGTGCTTGTTTCTGTCAAAGTGTGGGTCTCCTGTAAGCAACAGATTTTCATATCTTCCTTTTTAATCCAGTTTGCCAAATGTTGTCTTTTGATGGGGAATTAAGTCCTTTAACATTCAATGTTAGTATTATTAGGTATGTGGTGATTTCTGTCATTTAGTTGCCTTTGTTGTTTAAGGATTTGATAGTGTGCACCTAAATCAACGTTACTCTCTACTTTCTTGCCTTTTCTTCTCCTATGGTTTGGTACTGCCTGTCCTCTCTTTGTTTTGT